GATTTGTTCGAGCATCGATATAGGAGTTTTATACGGAATACCGTAATAAAGAAGTTTTGGGGGGTGGAAAAAAAGAAACGAAAATCAGAGACCTGTTGAACGTTGCACGAATCGTGTGATCGCTCTTCGAGAGATCGACGAACCAATTAAAGGTGCAGTCTGATATTTCGAACTGAAAATCGAGGGCTCTTTAAATTTCTGTTTGCTGGAATAATTGGATCAGAATGAAAATTAATACAGAAAATTATATATTTTCCTTTATTTCCTGCTTGTATTATGCAAAGTTCCACTGATGAAGCGAGAGCATTTCTGTTTTATTATTTTTCGATAAAAAGCGAGAACTCTGCAGGGCTCTCTGCGATTAATAGACTCGAAGGTACAGCGTTTCGAAGCACTGGTAAAAATATGCTAAAAATCGCGTAAAAATGCCTCAATTTTACGTTGTCTCGTTAAGCACGTGCAGTTTTTTAGCTCGACTTTGAAACGTTACGTCTGCACATTTATGACAGAGAGTTCCGCGGAATCTCGTATTTTTCGTTGGGAAATAAAAGAATATCATTTCGCTGAGGCTGAACAATGCATCGGTTCCTTTTTAAATCCATTGCGTTACAAAATTATTTTATTATTTCCTTTCACCGACTCGACGATCAGAAACAAATTTGTGGTCTCTGGGAGCATCTTTATGAAACGATAATTGATGTTTTTCACTTTTATAGATAATATCTTCAGAGTCTATTTCGTCGAGTACGTTTCCACAGGTTGTGGTTTAGAACAGAGTTACCTTGCTCGCGTAAAATGACGAAAAGGGCACGTAGGAGGATCGGGGACGAATAATTGAGGCGTTCCAACGTTTGTACATTAAGATCAGGCAAAGACAATGGTCGTACGGCGGTGTTGCGATGAGAAGTTCCCGCCGAGTTCTGCGGCGCAACGAAACGTGCCCGTAACTGCGGTATCGGTCGGAAACGGAGATACAATCGGAGTTTCTGAATTGAATCCCGTCGAGTGAATCGAGTTCCAGGATTACAATCGATGTTACAGCCACGTCGAGATTAAATCGAAACGCTAACATTAGCTTCCACGTCTCTTACGGATCGTTCGAAAATACGGTTAAAATGGAAACATCCGAGAACTACGGGAATAAAAACATTTGCCCTGCACGTACACCGTTCGACCAACAGTTTAAGTTTGAACGTTGCACGGGGAAGAGATTGAACAAGCGACGCGATTATCAGTCAACGATCTTTCGAATAGTTATGCGTTTCGAAATCGGGAACATCTGTCGAAACGCGTCGGTTTCGGTTGATTCATACTTATAAACGAGCTCGAGCAGCGGTGGCCAAGAAACCGATTTAGCTCGCGGCGGATAGGTAATTCATAGCGGCCGTTTCGAGCTGGAAAACGCACACTGTGAAATTACCGCGTCCAGATGAAAACGACCTCGTCCGCTTGAATTACTTAGACGCGGAACGCTGACGTTGGCCGCGACTTCGACGATGTCCCCGGTTTTCGGGGACAAAGCGAATTTCGTCGTTACTCGACCAGTTGAAAGTTTAACGCGGCGAACGACCACGGACGATTACACCGCCGATGTAGAAACAGTCGCGGTCTGTCCCTTTCCGGGACGGTTATTAATATTCTCGCGATTACTTTATTCGTAAACACTAATTCGATGTTCAAAGAATTGGATGAATATTCGTTTTATATATTGAGAGATTTGGGGGTTTGTATTTGAATAAATTAGAAATATAATTTGTCGACGGTTGTGGTTCGTTGGACACAGTGGTCCTCGTCTGGTTATCGAAGTGCAGCTGCATTTGGGTCGCGTGCAGTACAGGATGGGTGGTTACCGCTTGGAAGAAAAAAAGACGTATTCTCGTTGGGATTATATTCGTTGTATGTTGTTTATATTATAGATCTCTATCGATTGTTTAATTGACCATTACTAGACCGGGGTTACTGATTAAAAGAAAAACTACTTTGTAAATAGAAATAATACACAGTATAATAAAACAAAATTTGATGAGAATAAATAAATATTCATAAAAAGCAGGCAGCCGCAAGTGTTCTTCGAGTATACAAGTAATTGGTATAGGAAAGGGTTATATGACGAAAACTTTCTATACTTCGATGGGGAATAAAATCTTTTCCAGAAACTTTAATCTTCCGCGAGAACGGTACAAAAAGTTCTCGATTAAGGGATATTCCCCCAGGACCCGGTAATCCCCCAGGGGATTGTGGCCGCTTGTTCTCGAACTGGCGCCATAATTTACAACGGCAAATCGAGCGAACGGGGGGGTGGTGTTCCCTTCGTGCAAATGCACGAGTGTAACCGGTAGTAGCGAGAACGGCGGGGTAACGCGGCGACTAAATCGTTTGGTAAATCGAGACGCAAATTCTGCACAAACCCGTCGAGCTCGCGGTTGCTTGCGAGACAGAAACCTCTCTCCCCCGTCTTAACGGGAACGCTCAACTTCTCGCTGAGCTCTGCGGTTACTTTATTAACCCAGAACTTTAAGAAGCAAGTTTCCCCGACCGTGGAACCTCCGCGGAACGCCAAGACGAACGTGCGAAGTAAAGGCAAACGAAACTACGGGAAAGACCTCTCTCTCGAGTTATTTGCGCGAGCGTCTAACGCCGACGAATCGATCGAAGGTAAATAAAACAGAAATTTCGAGGACTTTATGGCGCGCGTCCCAGTCGAGACGAAAGAGTTACCTACCTATGGCCGAAAGTCACGAATTTCAGGCAATTTGCTTCGCTATTTGGAATCCATTATTGACTATCTCGCGAAAGCAACGAAAAGTTAAGAAATTAACGAAGCTCGTTGAAATACTTGCATTGGAAATAAACTTTAGCCCTCCGCCATCTTGGTCCCACAACAGTTATCGCAAATTAATCCAGAAAATACTGATTTTAATTATCGAACCGTTGAATGGGCTCTTTAAAATTATTATCCAGCTAACGTACAGAGTTTCGTGTCTTTTAAATTTATCTTTGCTCGTCGATAGCTAGAAAGGAAGTATTTTGGCTCCCGTCAGCAAGTTCCTTCGCCGCCATTTGTTAACAATAAGTCGTTCGCCGGATAGAGACAGAGTTCCGGGGGATTCGCGAGTTCGAGCAGAACCAATATCATCGTCGGCGATGACAAATGTCGCGCAGTTGCGTCTCTCTTCTTGCTCGTTTCGTGGGATCGTAGATCACACATCGAACTTCCCGACCCGATAACTTTCGAGCGACGAGGACGACGCGTCTTCCGGACTGGATCCGCCGCGCTGAATAACGTTTTTATTTTCTTTCCCCGCGGTAGGAAGTCGTTTGATTTTGCGGTAACGCGACGACAGGCTCGTTAACGGGGGAAACGCGATCGTTTCGCGGCCGGGCCAATCAGGATTTTCGGTTCTCCGTTCGTGGGAACGACTCTCGTTTTTCAAATTCCGGGATGATTCGCGTCGGACTAGGCAAAATTACCGCTTCGTCCCCGGGGCTGCTCGGATCGATGCAACCCCCGTTTATTTTCTCGCGAGAATCACGGCCAATCGCGACGAACGTGTAGGAGTTTGCTTTGCACGGCTACGCGACTCGAATTTCGAAAATCGAAGATCGTTCGACCTAGATCGTACTTCTCAAAATACACTTGCGTTTTATTAAATCGGAAATTCGAGACTTGCGTCGCGCAGTCGTCGTTGAGGAGGATCCCAGTCGATCGATCAAACTGTTGATCGATCCGACAATAAACCGGAACACGATCGATCCACAGTATAATAGCGAATCTACCAATGAAATTCGAGTATCGGTGTCTCTTAAACCCCCCCGAAACGATGAAATTTTGGAATATTTCTTACGTCCGCGCGTGAAATAAAAACTTGATTTCGAACGAATCTTTTTCGTTTTTTTATGGGTGGTCGTGGACGCGTCGAAAGCGTTTGGAAACCACTATAACTTGCAGAGGCAAACACGACCAGCGTTCCCATCGAAGTTTGCCATGCCGCAACGGCGGATGCTATTCGAATTTCGGGGGAAGTTTATCAAAACTCTGTCGATCGACAAACCGCACCGATCCAGCAGTATCTCGAACGTTTCTGCCTCGGTTCAGTATCCGTACAAATTAATTTCTCCCGCGAGCTATTTTGGACGCGCCGTGGATTACCCCGACGAGATCCCCTGTTGCATTTTCCATTAATGCGACGCTCCGGACGCGAGACCATGGCAGCGGATCCGTAAACCACCCTGGCCGTATTTCGTCCGCCGGTTACCACCCAAACGAGGGTTGCTAGACGTTATTACCCCCGCGGATAAAATTTCCCGACAATAAATTTTTTCCCCAACGTTGCTGCCCCGTAAATTATTTTCAAGAAGCGTATTACCCCGGCCGAGATTACCGGGGACGCTGAAATTATTCAATATTTCGGTACGACCCTCGCGTGTCACGGAACAGCTGGAGAAAAATGCGTGCAACGTGACGTTGTTATTTCTAAAAATTGAATAATTCCACTGTAACAAATTTCACGTAATTTTTTAAACCAGTCAAATGAATAATTTAAAAAAATTGTTCCATCTGATCACAGTTACTTGCAAGTCAGGGACGTTAATATTTCTAAAAATCGAATAAATCCACTCTTGCAAATTTCACGTAATTTTTTAAACCGGTCAAATGAATAATTTAAAAAAATTGTTCCATCTGATCACAGTTACTTGCATGTCAGTGACGTTAATATTTCTAAAAATTGAATCCACTCTTGCAATTTAAACATAATTTTTTGAACCAGTCAAATGGTCAACAGGATTGACAAAATTGTATTCGAAAGATTAATTACGATAAAATACGAGGCACGGGGGTTTTTATCGAGTTGAAAGAAGAAACATTTGTTAGGGGCCAAGTTCCCGCGAATCGCGGTGTACATCACCGTAAATGGGGACTCGTAGACCCCGTTTCCAAGCTAATCACGATTAATCGTTATCGGCGGTGTTTCTAACGTGCCGTTTTCTCCCGGTTACAGACATCAATTCTACTTGCACTCGCGCCTGGAGCTAGTGGAAGGTAGACTGAAGGTTTCGGATTGGGGCTCCGTGGCTCGTCTGGTGGCCCTGATAGCGCAGGCCGATGCCGGCGATTACGATGTCCTGTCGCCTCCGCACGCACTTTATTCCCAGTGCTGTCAGATACAGCCCACGGAGCCGTACGAGCCGAAACCCACCGATTTTCTGCACCGGATAATCCAGCAACACAAGGAAATCAAGGTACTCGTCGCGACGAATCCAGAGAATCCACGCTCTCGGGAGAAAACGAAATCATTTAAGAATTTTCATTGGAAGTGTAGAGCTATATGGGTTGTATAATTAAATCAAACTTCAATATTTAACCCTTCGACTACGATTTTGACATAAACACAAGTCGTGTGCAGAAAACTTGTTCTCGCCTTGAACGACGCACGTGGACCACCTGAATATCTTATTTCGAACGAAGATCTCTCCGTTTTCTCCCGACAGTCGCAATAGTCTCAAACGTGGAATAATTATTCGATCGAACACTTCATAGATCCTATCAATTCTATCATTTAAACGTTCTTTACTTGGCATCTCGTAATTATTCACAGTCAGTCTCATGCTTCATAGCATTCAATTTTGCTTTGTTTTTCTTTACTAATGGGTATTTAATCCCGGAATAAATGAATAAATGAATTGTTTGCGTTCTGTGCAGGGCATGAGAACCTCGACAGCCGAGTATTGGTTGCTGAAAGAAATATCGAATCTGGACACGTTCGGGCAGGAAATGTTCCACAGTAAATTCGGATACAACGGCGTGTCCATGATCGGAGTTGGACCACACGGGATCACGGTCTATCGAAGCCAGGACGAGGAAACGCAAAAGTACGTATGGTCGATTCACCCTGTTGATCAACGGCACGTTAGTATCGATCCTCGAAAGGGGACACTCGAGAATCTACCTATCGACCCCGTTGCTCGAGGTAGCATTTATCGAGACGCGAATCTTGGAGATCTTGAACCCCGCGGGGAACCGTGCCGACGTCTCCTTATGAAACAGAAGGCGATAAGCGAATAATATTTCATTTCGAGCGGTCTCTGGACATTCACGCCTCGGCAGACACTTCCAAATGGAATATACTCTGCAGAAACGTTCCCTACAGTGTTACGCTTTATTGAAACGTTCGTTACGCGATCCATTAACTGCTAACTTCTTTCTGAAATTTTTTATTGCCGAGAAATTATATCCTTTTCCTTTTTATTGTTGTTTTACAGCATACCGTACACGGCGATACAAAGCGCGACGTCTCAGCGTCGAATGTTTCATTTGGTGTACCTTTCCCTCGATGGCGAGGAAACGTCGTTGAACTTTAAATTGGATTCGAGTCAATCCGCCAGTGGACTTTACCGAGCGATCACCGAGAAGCACGCATTTTACAGTTGCGAGACGGTCAGGAGCGCAGTGACCGCTCAATTTATACGAGATTTGAAGGTATCTACTTATAACCAGCCTCGGACTGAGTCTATTTTTTAGCTATTCGAATACCATGAACAAAACCAGTGATGGACACATTTGATCAGAACTATCATACGCTCAGAATTTAAATGGTTGAAAACAAATCATATTGTTGTGAATTAAGTACAAAATGCAGTACCTCACTATAGCTTATTTCTTAAGAAAACTACATTTTCTCTTATTGGATTCCCATACCGTATAACTGGTCTAGACAATGACTTCTTTATTTACCTGTGCAATTAAGATCTTGAGACTTTCCTGAATTTAAATATCATTTCAAAGTAACACACTGTCTACCACTGGGGCAATTTCTCTATTATTTAAATATCATAAATAAGGATAAACTTCCAAATATCTTTGCTGTTTCTTCTTCCACCAAAACAGTATACAACCGAAGACACAGTGTCCTCAAAAAGAATATAAACAGATTTTCTTTATAAAAATTGAAACGAATAGAATTGGACTGTGCAAGTTAATTGTTCGCATAGTATTCGAGTATAGAAAATCGACGGAGTCGTAAAAGTCTTAAAGTCGCGAGATTGTTCTCGCGAGAGCAACCTCGAAACGTTGTATCGTGTCTGAATTGGTCGCTGTCGTTCCTCAGGGCACTATAATCTCGATTTTCAACGAGGACTCGACGCTGGGGAAGAAATACGTGTTCGACATTCGCAGAACGTGCAGGGAGGTGTACGATAACGCGCGACGCGCTTTATACTGCGAGGCGACGACCATCAGGTTGCCGGAGGAGAACGAAATTTTGGAGACGCACGGATACGCCGGGGACTGCGAGGATCCCAAGTGCAAGGTATTTCCGACAAATTGCGCCGCATTCTTTCAAAGTGTCGCCTCGTAACCAGTCCCCTCAACGTAATCGAAGAATCTTCCGAGAAAACAATGAGAACGCCAGAATGTGGAATCTAATTTCCAGAAGAACCAAAGTACACTGCATTACATTACTAACGAAATTTTCTATCTCTCGCATATACAAATTTCGAAGAGAAAGAATTGCATTTGCCGCGAGTGTTTGTTATGTGAGTAACCGATTGGCAATCGCGTTGTTTTCTACAAAACCGACGCTCGACCGGTGATACCATCTATTAGCATTATTTACGACTATTTGCAAAGAGATACTTGAATGGTATAATACCATATTTTAAAAAAAAGTTTCTTGACTTTGTGGGGCCATTTAGGGTTTCGTCGTTTTTGTATTTAAGTCAACATTGTTAATAGTTACGTTGACTATTTGGGTGGGTGTGTAATAGCGATGGATGCACTTTGAAAGAATTCGCAGTACGCGTCCGTTGATAGTCGCGAGCGGTCGGCAAACAAGGGAGGCAACTATTCGTGATTGTTCGAATTGCAGGAATCTCGGGAATGTCTGGCGAGATTATTGGACGCGATGCTCTGTCGCATTTGCATGGATCGTAGCCTGGACACCGCCTTGTTCCCGTGCGGACACGCGGTGGCTTGCTTGGATTGCGCTCGACGTTGCGAGCGTTGTCCGCTTTGTCGGGCGGATATCGACCACTGTCGAACGATATACCTTCCCATCGAGCTGACGCACGTCGACAAGCACAATTCCAAGTCGGTCTCGGAGACCATCGGGCCCGTGTACGGCGAGACGTCCGCCGACGAGATACAAAAGAGAAGTTTGAGGACCGAGGCCACGGTGAACGCCAACAGCATTTGAGATCGCCGGGCGGAAGGGTCGAGCGTGCTTCGAAGGTTCATCAGGATCTTCGGTTGTCGGATCGAGAGGACGCATTGAGATCTAGCGGAACGGAACGGATCATTGGATCGCCACCCTCGACGTTGTAAATTTTAATTTCCTACATTTACTCAAATTTCCAATTCCTCCTCGATCATTTTCAAACGATTATTTTCGCATCGTTCATCCGCCCCTTCGTCGTACCCACAGACGCCATTTTCTTTCTGTTCTTTATTACGTTTCCTTTGCCATCGTACTGCGGGGGGGGAAAAAAAGATTACAACGCGAAGGGGTTAACGTAGTCAGCGTGGAAAGAACAATTGCTGATTCGATTACCAAACGACGTTTTAAATTTGTTTAGCGTCGCGATGAAAGAACAAACGAAAATTCGATTTTTTTAAATCTTGATTTACCTATCTTACCTATCTTCGTTTAATTTGAATAGTAACGATGTCGTCACTATCTTAATCGAGCGACCGAGAAGTGCTATTAGCAGCATTGACCTCCGACGAACAGTGCTGCCGTTATTTGGACAAAAAGATAAAGAAGTAGTATAATTTAGATCATCTCAAGAAAAAAAAAATTTTTAAAAAAACACGAAAAGACATTCGACGCGTCGTGTACAGATTTTTTTTTATTCTTATCGACAATCGGACCAATAAGTTCTTTTTTTATTTAATTGTTGTTTATAATACTTCTCGTTACTTTTGTTCCTTTTAGATAGATTGTACGCTTTTTCTCTCTCTTTCTCTTTGTTTATCAACTTTCATTTAGATACGGTCTCAGGGCACCCGGGTGAAGAGTTTTATCGAAACCGGTGACCCTTCATATTTTTAATATAATGCCCCGTTATTCATTACGCATACGCAGTATCGTTTACAAAACGACTGCTATGACGGCCCTCCTCGTAAAGGACGTTTCATTTAACGCGAGCACGAGTCTTGAACGACGCCCCGTCTATGTGTAGATCGTTGGTTTATCGCGAAGTTTTCGTTTATTGCACCGTCGAGACCTTTGTATAGTTCCGTTCGCGTTCAGATGTATAGATAATTGCCCGATAATCGAGAACTCGTTCGCAAGAGTTAATTAACGCGTTACGTATTATTCCCCACCTCCTCCTCCTCCCTCCCTTCCTCCCTCGTTTGAAACGTCCTATACGAGAAGGAATCCTTGTTACAGTAATATCTGTTTATATGTACATAAGAAACGAGATAACCCGCGGTAGGGTCGAGCGAGTAAAAGTCATGAGTTCACCAAATGTCAAATCTGATTTAACCAGCTAAGCGCGTATGCCATCTTTTAAGTAAGTCATAATAAAAGAAATACATACACGTTACGCTCATAAACGATGATTTACCAAGTTACGAGTCGGCCGATATTTCGTTTATCCAACGGAGGCACGAAAACCAGGCCGGTTTACGGATCGAAAGGAAAAAGGATGCGGAGACTTTGGACCGTTCGAATATTAAGCGTATTATTTATTTGAAATTCTCGCGCGTTCAACCATCCTTCTTTCTTTTCATCGATCGGCGGAAATGCTTTTTATCGTTACCATCGTCGAAAATGAGCGTCGAGCTAGTTGAGACACCTGTGCGTAGCATTTTATGAATCTTGCATGCGTGTTGGAAGGGAGAATGAGAAACAAGGAAATCGTTGTAGTCATTCATCAATGCAAAGCAGACCTAGTTTATAATTATTTATAAGAAAAAAACAAAAAAAAAAATATGGATAATAGCGTTTTTACGTGCTACTACGTTTAACGACAGGTTACTTGTCGACAATCTCGTTAAGTCCAAACGTAGCGTCACTTTTTCTTTTCCCCTGACACGTTCAACGCTTTACGTCTATTAATCGACATCCTTTAGTTTCCTTTAGTATTTTTATATCCTATCGGTTAAGAGAATCGTGATCAACGCTGCCTCTACGAATCAAATATCGATCTCAGTGATTCCGTAGTTGTAAATTCAGCGACAAATATATATGTACAACCCGTTGAATTCGAAGCTGGGGAAAGATATTATTCATGACGATCATGAACTGATTAACGAAACGCAAGGAAAAGAGAAATAAAAATTTTAAATAAAGATTATTATTGTTGTTGGAGCGACGCCGCCATCGGGCTACTTCCGCGTTGCGGGGATATAGGAAATATTTTCTTCAGATTTTTTTTAACCAAGCAACTGGTTCGTTTTTCAAAGTGAGCACACCGTTCTATAAATTATAATTGTCTACGGTATTGTGTTATTTCGATATATGTAAAGTTCGTAATAATAACAACAACAATAACGCCGTTATAATAAAAATAACAATTTTTCGCGATTGACCCTCTGTATAAAAACGTACACAAAGAATTTCGAGATCATTGTAGCTGTTAGATCTGTATGGTAGAGACGAAAGATATCGGAGAGAATGGATTTCTAAGAATTATCATTTTGCAAAGAGTATTTTTAAAGTATTTCCAATTATTTTTTAGTATTATATCAGAATTCCACTGGAATAGTGGTATATACATATGAAAATGACACAATCTATACAAAATAATTTTTAGCATTATAAAGGTACAATGTCCCAACCTGTTGATTAAATACCATGAAACATTGATTGTTGTTTGCATTCCTTCGCCTATTGTTTTTACACCTACTACTTGGTTCAATAAACCGTTAATGAAACGGTCGAAGATACGATCGTTCGCGGAAAAATATATGTATAAATGGCGTGAGAGCATCCACAAATATCTCTGAACAACTTTAATTATATTGTTTACACCAAAATTAGCTTCGTATCGTTATTCGCAAAATGCTTGTTATGACTTTTATTAACGATTATTTTTGTCAAACTTTGTACAGACTGTATAAATTTAATAAAAACTCTAATCAGTGCACTTTCTTGCAGGCAGAAAATTAAATCAATCTTTCGCAACTCTATTTTTTAATAACTGCAAAACACGTGCTCGATTATAAATGAAACAATAGCAGATCCGATCGAATGGTCGGTAATAAAGAAAAATCCAACTTTAAAACAATGCTGTTACACTAAATTTTCTGAAGATCGATTGCAGTCCACTTCCAAGGAAATACTTCGAAAAAATGTAAGTAAATCGAATGATTTGATTGATTATTAAATGCATGATTTAATTTTTCAAATTATTCTGAATTTACGTTCACGTGTATGTCGCGATTGCCAATACGAACAGAATAAAGCGTGCTCGAATAAATCGAATAGACAATGAACGTTACACGACAAATTCTAAAATGCGTACAGAGTTTGAACAGAAAAAATTTCGAACTTCGCGCCGGAATATTCTTAGCGGCAGTTCGGTTGTAAGTTGTTCGAGTTGCGCATGCGTTCCGTAATCTGATTGGTTAACACGGCGGCACTGTCATATGACGAAGCTGCGTGGCATCATGGGAAGCGGATCGCAATTTTGCAACATGGCGGTGAATTGAGCCAAAGTCGCGGTGCTGTGCCATCAGAAAATGTATTTTTCATAGTCGCGCGACCTCTTTTGTTATACTTTTCATGCATGCGACAGTGTGATACGGATTCGGGACGCGTTAGACGGTGCACGGTACATGTAAATATGAATGTGTCGAGGCGCAACATTATTTCGAAGGTGACACCCCGCAACTCGGTGTGGTGTTCGAGTACGTATGGCAGAGACTAGAATTCGAGATAAGGAAGCTCTGCTTCGCCCGACTGTTACGTACATTCGACCAAAATTACCACCACGAAGTAGCGATGCGGTGGTTACCCCTCCCGAACTGTGAAAATGTGAGTGTTTCGTGTAAAATCTAATGTGTCCGTACGAAAGTGCCGTGGGTGCGTATTTCGGTAGCGAGAAGAGTGTATGGCTGCCTCGTCCACGATCTGTACAATCCCTTTCTTACATCAATCACGATGATTTTCTCGCCAAAATTTCCTTAACCTAGTCGTAAATTATTTCGATCACGGATGATCCTATTAAATTAGCCTTTAAACATGAAAACTTCGCTGTACAAATCGGTCTTAACGAATGTGCCACCATTGCATCAAATATTCTTGACGAAGTCACGTTTTCTCGAATTTCGTAGAAAACAGTTTAAAGCATTTCTTGAAATTAATATCGTATCCACGTTCTCAGTGTTAACAGTGTGCTCGTTCCGAAAAGAATGTATATTTCGATCGATTCGCGTAAAAGTGCTTACCTTCGTGGTTTGCTCGTGTTTCCTCCTTAGCTGTGCTTAAATCGTATTCTATACGTAATTATTATGAACATCGGTCAAACGAAAGGTTCTTTCAGCGATTATTCTCCCATTACCGATGTCCGAAAAAATGTTTTATGGTCGGTGTCGGTAAACGTCGATGTAGCAATGCTCCAAAAATACCACATGTTACAGTATTCTAAAAGCATCACACGTTGCAATGCTTCAATAACGATAAGAGTTTGTGACGAATAACAATGCGTTGTGTTTATTGTTTGAAACAAATATTTTGCAAGAGTTAATAGTGATATTTTAATCGTTTGATTAGATTCAATGTGGAATTAAATGGACACAGTATACATTATGAAAGTTTTCATTCAGTACATTTTATGCCTCTGCATTTCTGTTTACATTTATTAATCAATGGTTGAATAATAATGAAAGCATAGTAAAGTTGTAGTTTAATTAATTAATATTATTTAATATTTAAAATTAATACCATTACAATAAAATTTCATTAAAATCAAGTACAATTAAGGAGGAAGCACAAGATGATATATATAAATGTTTGTTATTTTGACAAGTTCTTGCTACACGTTATGCAATTAAAAGACAAATCTGTTTTGACACGTTAAACAATTATTTTTTCATTCTATACCAAATAAAAAATGAGGTCACAGCTGCAGCTGAATAAACTGATTTGCATACAATAAAATTTCTTAAATGCTTTGAAACAATATTTCTTATATCCTTTCACATTCTACATTCTGTATCTTATATATATATAATCATGTAAAATAAAGCAGACATTAAACTAATACAGTATTTTTCTATTTTCAGAAATGTGCAAAATTCAAAAACTTTATCAATCGTTCTAACTTGTGATCGTATATGCGTGCCAAACAAAGATATATAAAAGGGCGTTGAAGAGACCCAATGGTTTCCTGACACGATGGAAAGTAAACTATATGTGAAAAATGAGCCGGGACTTGACGGGCAATCGCTTACAAATCCACAACCAAATCCATCCTCCGATGATAACGGAGGTGCTAGGGTTTGTTTTGTTTGTGGTACAGTGGGCCACGGAGAGCAATACTGGCTCAGAGTAAAACCGAGTCCAGGCGGAGCACCAAACGAACCTTACTTCCCCTTTCTCGAATCCCATGAACCACCCGCTGGTTACCGTGGCGAAGGCGCTAGAGGCGGAGCTATCAAGGCATGCAGTCTTTGCTATTCCTTACTCTTACAACAGTGGGAAAGTTACGAGCTGGATGCTAGGCCTCATAGTCAACGAATTTATTGGTTGAAAAGATGCGATGGTGGCCCTTTCACCGGGGCCGAGATGAATCTGCAGGGCGAGTATGTGGCGCAAGTTCTTGGCTTAACTAACGAGCAGACACCGCAGCTTAGACCAGAAAATCGGCCGGTCGGAATCTCTCCGCGGCTTCCACCAAACTCACCATCCCCGAAAGTGGAGCAAACAAGGCCACCGTCAAATTCTATCGAACTGCCGAGACCACATTCGAACATGGCAGAAACGCACAGACATTTAGAACAAGCAAGGCTTACAATGGAATCACCCCATCAAAGACTGCAATCGCCGCATCAAAGGTTACAAAGTCCACGACAGCCTGTAGAAGATACAAGAGTATCTAATGAAGCTGCATTAGATTTAAGACACGCACCTAGAAGTTCACCCGCACCGCAACCAACTCTACTGCCGCAACCAACTTTACTGCCACAACCTCAACGTAAGCTGATGTTGAACATACAAATCATTCTCTTACAGTACATTTCTAGCAATACATTATTACATACTTAGTATCAGTTATTTCTTCTTGACTACGTATATCGAGATATTCGTACGAAACAAAGGTAATGTTTGATAGATTCTGGAGCAAAGGTTCTCAATTTTTTAAGCAATTATCGCGTTTCACAATATTCAGACGGTAAACGAATGCATAAATGCATTATTTATGTTAAATATAGTTGATTCATTCGGTAGGATAAATGTTTGTAAATAAATGTTCGGAGTATCCAGATAGAGCATTAAAAATCCATCTAATTTAAATTCTGATCTCAACCTTTAATATGCGTGTAACTTGTTCGACCTCTGAGAGATCTAATTTAACCGATCTGATACTTGTTAGTCAGCTTGTCACACTGATAAGTAGGTCGCTCGAAATCAAACTGCTGGAACAATGGAAATCGCAAACTACAAAATTGTCGTCGTTCCATATTTAAAACGTAGCGATAAAGTCATGAAAAATACAGTGTCAAAGTAGGCCACGTGCAATACGATAATATTCTCTATGAGGCCCGTAAAATGCTCGAAACGGAATGAAAACGATCGGTTTAATATCACCGGGTTTTCGATGCAAATTCTGCACAGTTACCAATTCAGCAGTTTGTAATCGTTTCATCGTACGATTGCAGCCATTTACAGCGGTGGATCCTCGTCAAGCGTCGGCACTGATATCTTAGACCTTTCGATGCCAGATAAAAATTCAGTTACGGAAGTCTGTTACGTATGTGGGGATGAATACAAAAGAGGGTCACTTAGTCATATTGCGGCAAAACCACTGCCAACTCCGCCACATCCTTCTGCCAGTCCTCCGCCATTTTTTCCCTCGCTGATGCTTCATCCAAGGCCAAGTAGAAGTCGACCCATGGACAGTGCTGGTCGTGTACAGGTACATCCTTTTTCCGTCGATTTCTTACCCTCCATAAAACGGGCTATATACCATAGACCATGTTATCCGAGTGTTGCATCCGAAAACTTGTTCGCTTGTTTGGTTTCAGGCTTGTTCGGCGTGTCAGAATCACCTTCTGGCACAATGGACGGGATACACTTTACGGGGAGTACCGCACGGCGACCGGAACTACACGCTCCGTAAACGACAAGCACCTGCGATGGACACGACTACCTTCATCTGTTATACTTGCGCGCTCGAGTACCCTTCCTCCAGTATTAGACTTCTCTATTGCTGTCCTAATCCAGAGAAGGAGGCGTACTATCCTTTTATTTATTCTCTGAGACCTCCGCAAGGAGCTAGTCCCATAAGTCCTCAGGGGATGGTGCAAGTTTGCTCCATTTGTTACAAAGCTATACCACAAAAGCAGCAAGTATTCGGTGGGGAGAATCACGAGGGCCAACCCTCGGTGCAGAGCGTGGATTTTCGTCAACAAGGCCCGTCGCCACGGCCCGCGGTGGCGAAGTCTCCAGCCAATTCTGCTGGTAGCGATATTCGTTTCAAGCCATACGATTTAAATAAATCGACCGTTGCTACGAATAAGCAACGCAGCGCATCGGTGAAAAGTACCACGCCTGGCCAACGAAATTCTCCGAACAACGGTCCTGCTGAAAATGGAACTGTTGCTCTCGGCCAGAACTATAGGTGCTACATTTGCGAAAGACTGTACCCACGCACTCATATGGAATGGTACGTTGTTTTAATCGTCATAATTTTCTATGGCCCCGCGATGGGTACCAGCGATCATTACATTTGTTGTTGAAGGTTGTCTACGAGCCCGGAAGGAATGAATTCGCACGCTATGCATTTTCCTTGTTTGAGGGGAATGGCACGCACTTCCGAGAATGCCTGTATGGATAGTCACGGCAGAGTATTGGCTTGTAGTCACTGTGTGAATCATCTTGCCCAACAATGGGAAAACATGGACGCTGAACGAGTTCCTTTAGAACGTCGCAAGTTAGTACATACGAAATTTCTTCGTTCGATTTATCGAAGACTACGCTATCGAAATTCCCGTTTAACCATTTGCTTTTATGTCTCTCTCTTCTCAGGTACGATATTCCTAGTCCGCATCCAAACGGTGAAGTGAACCGGTCGATCGCTACACCGCCGAGTTCCAGTTCCGACCGAACGTTTGGTAGCAATCCAGGCACATCGAGCAGTTCTATCTATTGTTTCCTGTGTGGCTTGCATAGTGATTTGACTCTCGCGAGAGTATTGTACGGCCGGCCACAGGGTCGCAACGCTCCATTTTTCCCTGAATTATTGCATCATCAGTCTCCACCGAATGCCGAGCAACTCAGGGAGGATGGTTCCGCTCTTGTGTGCACGTTCTGTTATCATTCTCTTTTGGCGCAATGGCGTCGATACGAATCTCTTCCTAGCGACCAGCAAGTGAACGCCGCGGAAAGACAGTACAACACCCACGATTATTGCTGTTACGTTTGTGGTATCACGACATATAGAAAACGAGTGCGAGCGTTGCTTGTGAAAGATTTTCCCTTCTTGAGGTATCACAAACAGCCGGAGAAGAGTCTGCTGTTGGAGAACGGGGATTTTGCCGTGGTTTGTTTGGACTGTTATGAAACATTACGTACCCAGAGTCTCGAATACGAACGATGGGGCTTACCTGTCGAAAAACGCGAGTATAATTGGATAGTGCAACCTCCGCCGCCGGAAGACAGCCCCGATGCAGCCATCGCCAGATTACCGTCCGGCGAAAGATCGGAGAAGGTGGTAAGTAATTTCTTAAAACTTAGAAACTGTCATAAATCTACGCATTTATTCAAGCAATAACGTCTAATTCTATATTTCGCTGACGCTGTTGCATCGGTGTACATAACCTATACTAGTCTCGCATTAAAAACAATTCTCGGAGTCTAAAAGTTTAAGATCGTCGACATTAAATATTATTGCTTGTTTGCTTAATAGAGACTGTTATTTTTATTTAAAAAAAAAACAGTTTATTAACGCGTGTGTGTGCACATTTGTGCTCTAGGTTCCATCGACGCTAACCGTTAGACCAGCGCGAAAAAATTGTTCACCGAAGGCACCGGACAAGAAGGGCCCGACGAAGGTCCCGGAAAAAGAACAAGGTAAGTGGCTACCTGTGTTTGAGCTCACCATTTTTTTACCTTTGAGTTTATATTTTTCCGTAACCAGTTAAACTAGTTACTCGAAAGGTTCAACCAAACTGGAAAGGGAGATAACCGTAATCGTACATTTAGAAGCGAACGATGTTCTTTGTTTACTACCGCGGTTTCCTTTTATTTGTAGACCTATGTACATATATACAAAGATTAGACCTACAAGTGCTGCAGATAACGAAAAATGTTCCGCGGTCAAACATTCGCCAGACACGCTAAGGTTATCGGTCTGTATTTTAGCGCTATCTCGAGCGTACGCATTCACCTCTCTAGAATTACTCGAGTCGATCGCGTTCAAGTTTCCGTGCAGGAACAATATGATACATAGTCCGCCCCAAAAGTTTCCCAACTTCATTAAAACAACATATTTCCATTTAATATTAACAAATTTTGTTGAGGCAAGGTTGGAACATTGCTAGACTTTCCACTTGACATATTTGTCCAATTATGTTACTATTTTTCTTAAACTACATCTTATACCATGAAATACACAATTTACAATGTCTCAACTTTTCGAAATAGTTATAAGAGAAAATAATTCTTCAAGTCCACTTAACCTCATCCACTAATCCACTTAAACCTCAAAATTAATGTCAAAACAAATATGTAAAACAGCCTAAAGTGTAGAACAATGGAATAGGATAGAAAGAAAGACTAATAAGAAAAGAGAGGTGGAGAGTTGCCCAGTAGAATCATAACCTTATCTGATGTATCTTCTAACCTATAGCAACTGTGCTATCTTTTATTTTAAAAAATAAACATTAATTTTTCGAGTGTACTAAGAAGATTATCACCTTCCTGGAAGAGTAAAAAATACAAGTTGTAACACGAGTAATAAACAATGTTTATTTTCTAAAATAGAAGATGGTACTCTTCCTACACATCACAGAAGATATCAGATAAGGTTGTCTTTTCATATTATGTGTTGTTCCCGAAGAGGGTCAACATCTTATCTTGAGAATTAATGCTTTTAGCCTCATAGTGAGAAATTAAGTCACCGAAATGGGTTAGGTTTGGGTTAGGTCACTCATATGGGTGACTTCATAGGTTAGGAAAACGATTCGTTTCTTGTAACGCGTTTCGATCGATCTCGATCGGGACTGTACAACCGTCGTTCTCAGAAATTATTCGACTTCGAATCCTATATGAACGGCAGTGTTAATTCGACGAAGAGTCTAGAGTTTCGTCGGCTCGTGTTTTATATCGAAACGGAAGCAAAGGGCGGGAGGGGATAGGATGGGAATTCTTTTTCGCAACGTTGAAACAACGGGCGCGTTTCTCATCTTCGTCTAATGCAGGCAGAGTTTAACGGGCGGTAGACACGTACAATATATACGTATATACGTACCGGGAACAAAGATACGACGACATTCTGGAGACGCGAGGGCGGTCGGTACGGTGAAAAGGATCGTGACAGGGGGTGTGTGGATGAGACGTGAGTGGAGCTCTTAAAAATCCAACGGACAAAAGGATACCGACGGTTGAGAACCATCCAAGAGGAGGGCCTGATGGTTTGCGTCGAGTGAATTCGCTCCTTCTTTTTTTTTTCATCCTGCTCTCGTCTCATTTTCTATCTCCTGCCTCGAATTACGAGCGAGAAAATATCTTGCTCGATGTGTGCACGGCCTGCCCCGAGGTTACGATCGGTCCGAAATCGTTCCGAACCTTTCGTAATCGCGTTGGCTCCCTCGGCCAGTTTTTTTTTAGAAATGGGATTTTGAAGTAATAGCACCGTTTGTCCGAAACGGGTATCGCTGATTCCTGTAATTTCCACAGTGACCACTATTTCGTGATCTTACGTCACCGTCGGGAAGTTTTTTAATGGAAATCGTTCGATCGGGGTCGGCTACGAAATTTCTACGACGACGCGTGCACGCGTAAAAAGTTAACAAAGACGAATGCTTCGCGATACTTTCTAACGTTTTGATCGAAAAATCGTGCAAAGACTGACAAAGGCATCGATAGTCACGATGGTCAGCCTTGATCGGTTATTAATCGTCTTTATTACAACATATTTAACAAAAATTAAATGTTACGGTATATTGTGTTGGAACGTTAAAAAAAATTTTTTTCAATCAGGACTGATCAATCGCTGTTATAAAATGTGAACTTCGTTCTAAAAGTTTTAGTTCGAAACGACATACTGAATGATACAGATACATTTATCAAAACGATTGAAATGTGGTTTCTCACGGTTGGTATGATGACTGTCCAGGTGTTTATAATCGCATAAACACCAGAAATGTTAGTAAATTTGTTCTTGTCCAGTCCTTTTTGTAAAAACAGATTATCAAGACTAACCGAGTGCATTGTAAGGTCAATGATGGTCACGGATGACTGCCAGAGAGATAAACGCACTATTATTGAGAATATGAACTTTAATATTTTATCATAGTATGCATCTAATAATGAAAATTCTATTGTAACTCCTAGGACAAAGCATATCAAATTTATGTGGCAGTCAGCGTGTTAACGTCTAGCAAATTGCATGATAGATTTAAATTTTTATTATTCATTTAGTATCTATTTTTTTTATACTTTTTTTTATTTGTACTTGTAATTGAAAATTTTCATTCCTAAATACAAATGGTTGAATGAGAGTTGGAAGTCATATTTTTGTAAAATGTTATTGTATCATCCGGTGTTATATTTGCAATGACGTCCTATTTTGATAGTTTCGAAAATGCCCCCGACGATTGGTCGAAAACGTTTACACATAACCTATAAATCGTCAGACCAAATCGATGGCTTGGCGCAACTACGCGAAGCATCGTTCAATTTAATAGTACGTGTTTTATTTCTAATAATTTTCTAATCGGGAGCCCCGACGTTTTTCCAGCGAGTCTTGGTGGTAATTCGGGTGAGGTTTTCTGCGATGTTTAAGCCCTTCGTGGCACGTATATTTTCCCTGGGAGCGAAATCCCGCCCAAGCAGGCCACTTTCCAGCTTGGCCGCTGTTAGTTCGTAACACCGTTGCTTCGTTCTTTTCTTTTCATCGTTCTGGCTTACCAGCCACGTACGTGCTCTCGTACCAAAAGGTGAGTTTCTTCGAGTTTACGCCCGACGATCGTGTAACGCCACTGCACAGCCTGCTATTTAGAAGTCGTAAACTCACGCTCGACGAGGCGGCACGAGCAATTTTTCTTTTCAATTCAAGCATGCAGAGAGCGCGTGGAGGCACGGTGCAGCTGGAATGGCGTACGTCCGTAAATAAATAATTCCTTCTTACTTGGTTCTACTGTACTAGAGAGCCGAATAGATTACCCGTGGATGGAATTCAGATTCTAGCATTAACAAGCATTGTTTATTTTCGTCGTAAACGTTCCGTTCTTTTATAGCCCTCTTCATTATGTGGTTACACAATAGTTTCTAACATTAACATGTTACCGGCCCAAATCTGTACAATATTTTACAGGACCGAAACCTTTATTCAGACAATAAGAAACTACATAACCTAAAATATGTTGCAGTACTTATTTTTGTCGTAATATACTTATTAATTTTAATTTTTGATCTATAGTAAAGATTCCATGAAAGATTCTGTAGAAAGATCGAGGATGACAAACTACGGATTGAAATATGTTTTTCATACTGTCTTTATTTTCATTACAAGTCTTTTACATTGGTAATCGTTTGCAATTTATCGTGGGCCACTCGAGACATGTCGTTGGGTCATTCAAAATATATCATGGGTCATTTCTAATTTATATTGGATAATTAATAAGTTTGATAAATTTTGAATGTGGATAAATATCTGCAGTGTCGATATGCAGATTTTAGTGGCGCTGCTAGCATCAAGAAGGGGAACTGTTCCTTTATAAACTTGGGCGTTTTATCGTAGAGAGCGCTGCCCACACAGAAATCAATTATAAATCAACCCAGAGACTGTCTTTTATATACTAATGATACAAACTGGTCGAAAACGTTTGTTGTAATCAAATCAAATTTGTTTGCTTGCAAGGGATCCTCGTCATATTTTCCTTACTAGAATTTATTTTTTACGTATTTAACGACTTCACTCGTGAATTCGAAGCAAAAAGACAAAAGAAATATACCAAGCAGTGAATAATTTCATACAACCTAACCTAATTAACGTGTAACAAATCATACTGAAGAGGACCCGTAGACCAACAGTCGCACGCCATTTATGTATGTACGATTAAACAATACTTGTTTGCACTACCGTTTTCTGTATTGTTTTATTTATTTACCCAAGTTAAATTCTGGGTCTCTGTCGATTACGTTACAATTTTTAGCGGGATAATCGAAGGGTTAATACCGAGTTCAATTCTGGAAAGGTCGAAAGACGAAAATGTTGTATTTAACGAAGGAATCGAGCGATCGAAGTTTCCCTGGGAACGATTATCGCTACTTACCCGCAAGGGTATTGGTTGTCTCAGAGATTGACGCGAGAACTTTCCCATTACGGCGGATCGGTGCGATAAATCTCCTTGGCAAATCCTGTCGTTTAATATGTCGAAGTTCTCGGTACGGTCGTATACTCGAGCCTCGAGGTATCGTGAGCGTTTCACTCGAGCCACTCGAGGCCCGTTCTCGTATCGCGCAAAGTCTGTTTCCCCGGGATTACTCTTAGCAAAAGGCACAGGCGTATCAGGTTCCCCGACGCGAACGAGAAAGACACCCTCTTCCGTTACAAGGAACCTGCGGATAATCGGGAATTATACCCCCAGCGTTTCTGGGGTTGGTTTCTTCTCCGTTTCTTTGAAACACCGTGACTCTCGCGGATCGAAAAGTCCCTTCGCCTTTTTTCTTGCTAGATCACTCGTTCAAGCTATTTACCGACGATGGAGGCTCGGTGAGTAGCACACAGCAATTTTTACGAAATTTTGCACGATCTTTTTGTGGACCTTAGAACTTTGTCGTATTTGGCTGGGTGGCTCTTCTTGAGACACACACGTATTTAACTCTGTGTTGTACTTCGTCAAATT